GTTCATTGGGGAACTTGATGTTGTACTCTCCATCAAGGGTCCAATAGATCTTTATTGTGACAACAATGCGGCTATTGCTCAAGCCAGAGAGCCACGAGAACATCATAAGGTCAAACATGTCAAGAGGCGATTTCACATGATTAGAGAATGGAAATCAGAAGATGAAATCAGAATTTGCAAGGTTGGAACTGAGGATAATGTAGCCAATCCACTTACTAAACCTTTGTCTTAAGTGAAGCACAACAAAAACGTTGAGGCAATGAGAATCAAGCACATTTCAAAATGGATTTGATTTCCTTATTTTAGTGTTTTAATTAAATTTTGGACAATGTTGATGAAAATACCTATGATGAACCATTCAGTTTTGGAGTTATGAAATTTTCATGCAATTTAAAACACACCGTTTCTATTTAATTATGGTTTAGAATTAAATAATGAGTCCATTCAATTTAAAGAATATTCAAAATAGGGTATCAAGACCAGTCTTGATAAGGAAACACTTATTAAGTGAACGTTGAGTACTGTAATCGAAAATTATCCCTAATCGAGGTCATTTAAAAAATGAACGATTAATAACCAGTTGAGATTAGTGTGTAGTTTGATTTATAGCACCGTTTCATGTGCTACAAGGACATGATTGTCATGAATCATTTACACAAGTATTGATTAGAACCATACTGGATCGACCTATGAGAATACTTTAAGAGATTCAAAATCGTCATAAGTATAATTCTCATTATTGTTTTCAAAACCTTTTTCCTTGACCTTGAGTATTGTGAGATTTCTTGTTTGAGTACTAGTATGCATTGATGATTGTCAAACGTCTGCCGTAATAGGGGATTATAACGGCATCACTCAGGTGGCTAGGTCCTCTTGGTAAGAGAAGCTACATTACAAGACTGGGAATGCCCCCCCACTAATAATAGGGAACATGTCTTGTTGTTTACAAGGCCTCTCGAAGAGCGAGACTGTGAAAATGCATTGCCGTGCTCTGATGGATTTTAGAAATAATCTACTTATTAATAGTCAAACTCGGATTTCGAGAAACACTTCTGGACGTAACAGGGATTACGAATAAAATTACCCTGTGGTTCATGAAGAGACATGAAGAGACATAAGAAAGGGGATATACACTAAATGCTCACTTGTCTGGAAGGACAAGTGGGAGATTGAAAGGAATGGTGTCCTTCGAACAAGTTCATTATTCTAATAGTGAGTTCAAAATTATTAGAAAGCTAATATATTCAGTAAGGTGAAGTGATCAAAATGCCTAGGTAGAGGCCGCTTCCGATCAGTAATATTAATGTATAATTAATATCACATCTTAATCTTGACTGATCCCTTCGGGTCACACCCAAACAATTAACAAACCAACACGACCAATTAATTTATAAGAAATTTATGAGTTGCCTCGGTATTAAATCTAAAATTTGAGCAAAGAGCGTCAAAACTGAGCGTCGAAACTCGAGTCAAAATAATAAAAGACGAGACGCGCAAATCATAATAAATCAGCATAATTTCCCAAAATACCCCTAGCATCTGAATGCTATGAGCATGCGGGTGCTAGGGGCATAATTTACTAGCATAGGTTCCTAGCATGTGCACCAAGGCGAGCCTAGGCTGGCTTGTGCATGCTAGCACATCAATGCTAGCAGCCAAGGGCAGCCGCGGTCGCAAGCAGCTGCAGCAGCCCGCACAAGGTATGCGTGGCTTGCTGGCCGCAAGCAGCAGCAGCCCGCACAAGGTATGCGTGGCTTGCTGGCCGCAAGCAGCAGCAGCCCGCACAAGGTGTGCGTGGATTGCTGGCCGCAAGTAGCAGCAGCCCGCACAAGCGTGCGAGGCTTGCTAGCTGCGAGCAGCAGCAGCTCGCATCACCTTAGTGCGGGTAGTTGTGCCATGGCTAAGGGGAAGCATGTGAAGGGAGGGTTTAAGTGTGAGGGACATGTGGCACATGAGAGTATGGAGTGGGGAGCAAGTATGGTCCCCTACTCTCCAAGTGGTCCTCACTTCCCTTTACATGTATTAGTGACACTTGAAGATTTATTTTTAGTTTGCTTATTTATTTTAATTTAGCTTTAAAATAAATTGTGGAATTTCATGCTCCCACATTGATGGGATAGAAATTCCCACTCTTACTCCTCCCTAGAAATACCCACCTTGGGATTTTGGGGAGAGTGCTAGAGTAGGAGTTCAATAGAGCATTGCGTTAGCAAAAACTCTTAAACTCATATAATCCTTGGGATTTCATCGAACCTCACTAACTCGAGGTAACAGACCTAAAATTTGGTAGTTGTTTTTGCGGGTGGATCTCCGTCGGAGGCTCTCGTATTTTCGAGGCTAAGCTTCTCTAGTAAGAGCCCAATTTGTGGGGCGAAGCACGCGACAAAGGTAAATTTCCTATTTTGCCCTTTTGTGTTTATTTATGCATTAGTGATATTATTTATTGTGAGCGTGATCCTTGGCTCGGGTTTTTTTTTTTCGTGGTGAGTGGGACTCACCAAACCCCAACAGGCCTCGTTTCTTGAGTCGTGGCAACGAACACGGTCGTCGATCATCCCGAGCCGCACCCGCTATGAGATGTGAAACTTGGGCGCGAAGTAAAGAGTGAGCTTGTCCCAGTAAGGGAACTCCCTTAGGCTAGTGGAAGCTGCTTCACCTGCGTGAACGGGCTCGTCCTTCCAGTGAGCCTCACGAAAATGAGAACTAGATCCACGACGTCAAGACATACTAAATTATGCAAAACAATAATAAATCAAAGGTTCTATAGTATCTAAAGTTCGCCTAGCCGCGTGATACTATGTTTGAACAAAAGCCAGAGTACGTAGTACTAAAACAGAGCATGATTTTAATTCGTGCATAAATAACATTTTCTAACAACTTTTTACAATACTGTAGCAAAAAGTACGACAAATTAATCATGAATAGATAACAAGAACATCAAGAATGAGCCACATTGTTCTCACGAACTCAAAGGTGTCAACAATGGAAAAACGTTTGTTTCTTCACCAAATCGAGTAAAACAAATCGAATTAAGCAACACAAGCTTTGAATTTTTCGGAAATTCGTGAATAAAAGTGTTCTAGGTATGGATCCAAGGATACTGTTAATGTAAGTTGGGTCTCTTCGATAACCTGCACATGGCAATTCACGTGAACTTCCCTCGAGGGTGGCTTGAGGAACCCCCCCTAATGCCTAAGTTAGAGTGTATTTAAAGAAAGAAAGTGTACTTAGAGATATGTAGGAAGTGTAATAATTCATGTGTCAAACCTCCTTTTTTGTTATACTTTGTCCTCTAGGTGTACGATCTCATTTGTGGAGAGTCTTTCCTGGTGAGCCTTGCGGGATGATTTTATCGGGCTGGTGAGCTCCTCTTAGTCGCTCTTTTAGCAATAAGTGCACACCCTGGGAGCCAGAAGATAGTGCAGTGGGAGTTACCCTATACAACTAGCCCCTCAAGAGGTTGTATGAGGTCACTTATGTCAGACCTTGTCAGCACGATGCAACCTTTTCTTCTGAGCCCAGCGGGAAGGAATAGCTCAACAGGAGCTATCCCCTAAAACTAGCCCCTCAAGAGATGGTATTAGGTCATTCATGGCAGCTATTCTGAGCGTGTAGCCTTACGAGCCGTTTCTCAACGAGTCGTCTGGCTAAATTACCCCGTACGCTCCTAGCCCTTAAGTCTTTGGATCGGTGATGCGATCCTGTGGCTTGGGAGGTCAGGTTGCGATTCTAGTAACGCGGTTTTACTACTAGTTGTTTATGGTGGCTCCTCTTCTACCTGCGATGTGCATGTCCCGCTGAAGTGTGGCGAGACTACGAGGAGGAATTATGATTGCTTTTGCAGACGTTTGAGAAATCACTAGCTTGCGAAGAGGAATTTCGATCACTCCTGCGAAAGTCTTAGAAATGATGATCTTGCGGAGAGGAATTTCAATCACTCCCGCTGAAGTCTGAGAAATGACTATCTTATTGACAAGAATTTTGATCACTCCCGCCGAAGTCTGAGAAATGACTATCTTGCGTAGTGAAATTTCGATTACTCCCGTCGAAGTCTAAGAAATGACGATCTTGCGGAGAGGAATTTTGATCACTCCCGCTGAAGTCAGAGAAATGACTATCTTGGGGAGAGGAATTTTGATCACTCCCGCTTAAGTCTGAGAAATTGCGATCTTGCAGAGAGAAATTTTGATCACTCCCGCTAAAGTCTGAGAAATGACGATCGTGCGGAGAGGAATTTCGATCACTCCTGCTGAAGTCTTCTTTTTTCTTTTTTTTTTCTTTTAAAAAGTGTTTGCATGAGTGGGACACGTGCCGATAATCCGAGCCGTTTGTTTGATTTTACCAAAGTAACATGGCGGTTTGGCTTTATTTCTTGCTCCACAACCTATTTACTCCCTATTAAATTCATTGTCCCCTTTTTCATTTATTTTTACCTTCATTATTATTTTTATCTTCCTTTGCTTCTTCATTCTCTTTTTCAAATTTTTTGCTCTTCATCTTCTTCTCGGACGCGCATCGCTCCTCCATTGTTGTGGTAAGATCTTTACTTTTCATCCTCGTTCTTACTTCATTTTTTATGGGTTTTTTTTATTTCTTTCTATTCTTCTTCTTCGCTGAATTATTGCTTTTCATTTTTTGTTGCAGTTTGAAACCCCATTCTCTGTTTGGTGTCTTTGGTCGCCGTTGTTGTTGTACCCTGTTGCTTCTGCAACTTCTTGTCATAAAGGTACTAACTTTGTACCTTTTCTTGTATTTTATATTCCCCATTTTGCTTCTTTGTGTATTTTCCCTCGTAAAAAAGCCTCTTTTTGTTAATTTTGATTGCCTTTATCCCGTTTGTTGTTGTATTTGTATTCTTGATTCTTTCCCTTCACTCTTCCCCATTCACTACTACAAAAATTGCTCAAGTGATCCGTTGTAATATGCCTGAGAGATCACCTTAGAACGAGTCTCTATCTCATGGGTCTCTTTGATAAACTGACCCGTCCATTAAAGGGGTCTGTTTATGAGGACAAAAAGACCCGTCATTAATGATACCAGATATGTCATATATGTTTTATGATTGATATTTTTGAAGGGAAAGAGACCATTATTTGAGATATAGGTTTTGTTTAGTGGGTATCAAACAGATCCATCATGTCAGTTAACAGGTCTGTTTGGTCCCATTATTTTTTTAAAAAAAATAAATAAATGGGTTTTGGTTTAATATTATTTGCATTTTAAATTTAAAATTTCCGTATTCTATGCTTTATACGAATTCACATTTAGTAGAAATTTCATAATACTGGAACTATTGTAATTTATACTTGAAGAGCACTAGAATAATAATGGGCTAAACTAAAGTTAATAAAATCTAACATAAAATCCTACTCGTAGCAAATAAAAAAAAACAAAAAAAAAAACAATAAATTTAAGTTACTTAAATTCACAATTGTAATTACATCAAGGCCGCCCTTTTTTCATCAAATCTGGATATCAATGGCGAAGAAGAAGAAGCAAGCTATTTCTACACCTCAAGTAGTGCAACAAAAGACTGCTCATGAAGTTGTTGGTTCGATTTTGCAAAATTTGGGAATTTCAAGCACCCCTTTCGTACCTAGCCCGATTCAGGAGGGGGATGAACTGCTTACTCCGGCGCTGGCATTAGTTAAGACGGCTTGTGGTGCTATTTCCGTTGTTCCATTGGATGGTGAAGCTACTTTTGTTGCTGAAGCTGCTGCTAGGCCGAGTCAGTCCAATGGAACAGTACCTAGGGTTTCTAGGTTTACTGTTCCATTGGTGGCTGGTGGATCTGGGCACGGTGGTGAGCCAGAGTGTTCTGTTCATTACTCCTCACCTTCTCCGGAGCATAATGTGCATAAAGTTAATGAAGATCGAGCTGCTTCTCTTCCTGACTTGGAGTTGAACTCGCGCATTTCTGGTGAAAATCGTGCTGCTTCTTCCCCTGTTCTAGAGCAGAATGTGAATCGTGCTTCATCTTTTACTGGGAAATTGGCTGCAAAAGGGGCTACTCTATCCTTTGTTGCTCCGAAAGTGCAAGATGGAAAACTCATTGCTGAGCTACAGGCAGCCGAGCTTGAGGAAGGTAATCAAAAATGGGCTAATGCTCTTGTTTTTTATGTGGTTGGCTTTTATCCTACTATTGCTGCTGTTCTTCGTTTCTTTTCTCAACAATGGAATGATATGCAAAAACCAGATGTGTATTAGCATGATGATGGGTACTTTATTATCAGTATGTGTTCTAGTGATGATAGAGATGCTATACTATATTCTGGTCCTCATATGTTCTTCGGAAAGCCTGCAATAGTGAAGCCTTGATGTCCCGATTTTGATTTTCATGCTGAAATTCTTAGAACTATTCCTCTGTGGGTTAAATTCCCTAATCTCCCACTTAATTGTTGGGGATCTCACACTCTTAGCCGCCTTGGTAGTTTGCTTGGAGTGCCAATTTGTGTTGATGAGTGTACTACTAGACAACTAAGAGTGTCTTTTGCTAGGGTTCTGATTGAAATTGATGTTACAAAGCCTATGCCAACCTCTGTGTGGGTTGAGAGTCCTTCAAAGGAATTATTGGAGATCAAGGTGGTGTATGAGTGGGCTCCTTCTTTTTGCTCTAAGTGTAACAAGATTAATCATGATTGCTCTGTTAAGCCTCTTATGCCTAAGCAGGCTTCTAAGCAACCGGCTCCTGTTCCTCCTAAGAAAAAGCAAGTTTGGGCTCCTAAGTCTACCCATGTTCATGCTTCTACTGCTGCTATTGATGTTGGTGTTTTTGTTCATGGTCAATGTATTATTACTCCACAGGTTCATACGTCTAAGAATTCAAATGAGGGGTGGAGAATAGTAGGGAGGGAGACAAAAAGCCAGCAAACTAGAGTTCATCAGCCTGCTTCTACCTCTAATGCCTTTGTTTCTTTATTTGCAAATGAAATGGATGGTGCAGGTGGTTTCACTATAAATCTAAGCGGGGGTGAGGTTAATCTCCCTTTGGTGTCATGATTTACTCTGTTTGGAATGTCAGGGGCCTGAATGACCCTGGCAAAGTTGCCTCTGTAAGGAGGTTGCTTCACTTTCATTCAGTTGATGTTGTTGGATTGCTTGAAACAAAAATCAAATTGAAAAATGTTCTCACTTATCAGAGGAAGTTTGGCTCTTCTTGGCTATGGTTGTGTAATTATGATCATTCTCCCAAAGGGAGGATTTGACTTGGTTGGAATGTGGATAAACTAACTGTTAATGTCTTGAAGATTCATGAACAGTTCATTCGTTGTACTGTTTCTTCTAAGGATCTCTCTACTCAAATTTACCTCACTGTTGTCTATGGTCTTCACTCCATTCATGATAGGCTTTCTTTGTGGGAGGGGCTCAGAAGCATCTCTATCAAGAATTCTCCTTGGCTTTGTGTTGGTGACTATAACTCTGTTCTTCATACTTCTGATAGGCTTCATGGTGCAGATGTTATTGATTATGAGACTAGAGACTTTCAGAATTTGGTATATGATTTAGACCTCACTGAGCTCAAAAGCAAAGGGCCCTTCTACTCTTGGTCTAATAAGGCTCATACTGGCCCTAGAACGCTCTATAGACTTGATAGGGTCTTTGGTAATCAAGCTTGGTTAGCTTCTCATGGGCATGTGGAGACTGTTTATCTACCTCCTTCTTTATCTGATCATAGTCCAGTTCTGTTGGATATTTGCTCTGGCCCTGTTGGGAAAGGTAGACCTGAAGAATCTGATGCTATTAAGGTTGTCAAGCACTGGAATGATATTCAGGAAAGCATGTTCAGGCAAAAATCTAGGATTAATTGGGTTAAGCTTGGAGATGGCAATTCTCACTACTTCTTCTCTGTGATGAGGACTAGGCAAGCAAGGAATAGAATTGACTCCATTTTTTATTCTAATCAGGTGTTGCTCAAGAATCCAGATGCTATTTCTCATGAAATTATCTCTTTCTATAAGTATCTTTTAGGGACTCAGGCTCCTTGGCTCCCTGTTGTTGACCTTGTTACTATGAGGAGGGGTAAGCAGCTTAGCTCTACTTCTCAGAGCTACCTCATTAGGCCTGTTTCTCATGATGAAATTGATATCGCCCTTAAGGGAATTGATAACACTAAAGCTCCTGGTATTGATGGCTTTAACTCCTTTTTCTTTAAGAGAGCTTGGCATATTGTGAAAGATGATATTTATGCAAGTGTTATTGAATTCTTTAATAATGGGACCTTTCCTAGGCAATGGAATTTCACAACTAACACTTTGGTTCCTAAAGTCCTTTCTGCTTCTCATGTTAAGGATTTTAGGCCTGTAGCTTGTTGTACTGTGGTCTATAAGCTCATTTCTAAGGTCATAACTGCTAGGCTTGCTACTGTCATTGGTGAGGTGATTGATGATGCTCAGGCAGGGTTCATTCCTGGCAAGCACATTGGTGACAATATTCTTCTTGGAACTGAACTGATCAAAGGCTATGATCACAAATTCATCTCTCCCAGGTGTATGGTTAAGGTGGATTTGAAGAAAGCTTATGATTCAGTTGAGTGGGGATTCTTGATCACTGTCATGCAGGAGCTTGGTTTCCCTCAGGGATTTGTTGATTGGATCTGGAATTGTCTTACTTCTGTCTCTTACTCTATTCTTATTAATGGTTTTCCTGCCCCCCCCCCCCCTTTGAAGCTAAGAAAAGGTTAAGACAAGGTGACCCTATGTCTCCTTTTCTCTTTGCTATTGGTATGGAATACCTCTCCAGATGCCTTGATGAGCTTAGGTTATCTCCTGATTTTAACTTTCACCCTAGATGTGAAAAGTTAAACCTAACTCCTATGATGTTTGCTGATGACTTGTTGATGTTTTCCCGAGCTGATAGTGTCTCTGTTAAGCTTCTCTTCCAAGCCTTCTCGAAATTCTCGGGTGCCTCTGGGCTTTCTGCTAATCTTGATAAAAGTGAAGTCTACTTTGGAGGAGTCTCTATTGATGTCCAGAAAGAGTTGAGGGAGCTTCTTAGTGTTTCTCAAGGCTCCATTCCTTTTAGGTATCTTGGGGTCCCTTTTTCTTCAAAGAAGCTTACTATTGCTCAATGTAGGCCTTTGGTGGAGAAAGTCACTGCTAGAATTCAAGGGTGGATGGCTAAACACTTGTCCTATGCTGGGAGGCTTCAATTGGTGAAGAGTGTGTTGTTTGGTATCCAGACTTATTGGGCTCAAATTTTTATTCTTCCGAAGAAAATTCTGAAAGAGATTGAGGCTAGGTTCAGATGCTTTCTTTGGACTGGATCCTCTGATCCTGCTAAGAAGTCTTTGGTTGCCTGGAATAATGTCTGTCTTCCTAAAGTTTGTGGTGGCTGGAACTTACTTTCTCTTCCTGAGTGGAATAAAGCAGCTGTCACTAAGTTACTCTGGGATATTGCTCACAAGGCTGATAATCTTTGGGTTAAGTGGGTTCATATCTACTACTTCAAGCATAAAGATTGTTGGACCACCCCTACCCCTGCTAGATGCTCTTGGTTCTTGAAGAAGATTTTGAGTTGTAGAGATATTGTGAATGATCAAGGGGGATAGGATGGGTTCGTTCAGGGCAACAAGTTGAGAATCAAGAAGCTTTATGCTGCTATTAGGCCTCAAGTGCCTAAAGTTCCTTGGAAGAGAGTTACTTGCCATAACTTAGCAACTCCCAAAAGTGTTTTTATCTTGTGGCACATCTCTTGTGTTCCAAAGTGTTTCCTATGTCTGAATGGCAATGAAAGTGTTCAACACTTATTTTTTTATTGTGATTTCTCTAGAAAGGTTTGGAGCAAGGTTTTGGGTATCTTACATGTTTCCAAGCCTGTTCAGGAGTTTAGTGATGAGGTCGATTGGATGAAGAAAATCTGCAGAAGTTCCAGATTGAAGAATAAAGTGATCTAGGTGGCCTTTACTGAAACAATTTATGGTATTTGGATCCAAAGGAATGCAGTTCTCTTTACTGGTTGCTGCAAATCTGTTGATGCCCTTGTTCGGGATATTGTCTTTCATTCAGTTTGTAGGATCCAGGCGGGAAGCAAATATTTGATTATTTAGGGCTTGTCTCGGGCTCCTTTTTCTTGAAGCTGAGGCTCCCATGCATCTTTTTTTTGTTTGTTTTTCCTTCTCTGCTGGCTGTTTTTCTATGCTGTATGCTGGTTGCTGTTTTTTTTTGCCTTGCTGTCTGTGCACTGCTGGTTGCTGCTGTGTACTGTTGAGTGCTGCTGGCTGTTTGCTGTTACTGCTGCCCTGCTGTGTGTGCTACTGCACTGCTGTTGTGTTGCTGTTTTTGTTGTTGCAGTTTGTTGCTGCTGTGTGTTGCTGGTTTTGTTGCTGGTTGCTGCTGCTGCATTTCTATCTGTAGCTGCAGCACTGTTGTGCTGCTGTCTGTTGTTGCTGTACTGCTACTGGTGTTATGCTGCTGCTGCACTACTGTACTGCTGTTTGTGCTGTTGTTCTGCTGTTTTGCTGCTGCTGCACTGTTCTCTGCCCTGCTGTGCTTGCTGCTGGTGCTGCTGTGCACTGTTGTGCTTGCTGTCTGCTGAGCTGCTGCTTGCTGGCTCTGCTTGTTGTTGCTGTTGAGCTGCTGTTTCTGTTGGTCTATGCACTGTTGTATGGTGTCTTATGCTATATGCCCTGTTGTCTGCTGTTTGGTGCAAGCTTTGTTGCTCCTTTTGTTGCCTATTTTTGTTTTTATTGGTGTTTTGGTCAGTTTGCAGGCATGTCTGCTTCTGATTGTTGTTTATGGTGGCTTTTGGGTGTGTGGTTTTGTTGTTTTTCTGTTTTTTTTGTTGTCTGGTCCTGATTTCCTGAACCCTTCCTAGAAGGTGGCCGGAAATCTGAGTCTAGTTGTTCTAGGCCCTTCCTAGAACTCTTCCTAGAAGGTGGCTAGGCTTGGGTCTAGAACTGGTTGTGCGGTTGGCCTGTTGTTTTCAGGTCTTTTGGTGCTCTGGTGGTAGTTATAACTTAGCTTTTGTAAGTTGTAACTTTCTTTCTTTCGTAATAAAATCTTATTTTCCAAAAAAAAAAAAAAAAAAGGTGATAAGGGCGAATCCTAAAATTTTTAATGGACCGGGCCGAAACTATAAAGAATTTCAAATAATAAAGCCACATGAAAAAAAAATGTGCAAGCAAGGAGAATTTAACTCTTGACCTTCCAAATCTAAAAGTAACTAAACAACTATAGACACCCAAATGTGTCTCCCCAAAAACCAAACCCAATGATGAATACTTTTCACGTCGCTTGATTATCAAATGAGGTAAAAGTGTGAAAAGTCTTGTGATGCGGTTGTTTTAATATAATCTTTCTTTCTGTTTTTAAAATCTTCTCTATTTATGAAAATACACAGTCCAATTTACCTCGGTCCATGTCAAGGGTCCAATAATAGTGTAGTTGGGTCGAGCAAATAAAGAGCTTTCCAATGATATATTATAAGCCCAATTCTGACAAATAATGAGGATGTTATGGTCCAAATACTAAATTGGGTCTGAAATGGTTTTATGGACCAATGATCTAGTGGATGGCCCATTAATTATTATTTTAAAAAATATTGGGATCAATTCTAATTTTCTAGAATAGTGTAAGGAGGGTGATCCCATCGTAAGGGGTACTCTCCTTAAATGCCCATGGCCGCTTAAAAGCCTAGGACTTTACACTTGTTAGGGTGTAGTAGGATTTGAATTCCTGACTGATTGGGGGACCTTGAATTATAGAATTGATTCTATCATTACGCTTTTTTGTAAGAAATAAGTAGGGAGTCGCCAATGAATTTTAGGAAAAACTCATAAACCTCATTCATGCCTTTTTTCCATGTGGAGTTCATGGAATAATTAGCACGAATCATAAGTTTACCCATGCCCAAATTGGTGTATAAACCAGAAATGAGCTTGGGAGCGAGAGTACTAAAATAACGTTCCTTTTAGAGGGGAATCGTTATCCTGGCCCTAGTGCGGCCTCTACTAGCTCTTCCTTTTTTACAATATCATCACCAAACAATATATGCAACGCGATACCTGAAACTATGTTAGTTAGTTTTATTTACAAGCATTAATTCACATAGGAATTACATCGTAATGTCGTTATTCTTATTTTATTAAATTCGTGAAAAGAACAAGAAAAACAATATTCGCCTTGGTTTAAGTGATCAACCAACAATTTTTTAATTCAATTCTAATCTTTATTTAACGCAAGATACTATTTGGAATTGATTAATTAATTATTTTAAAGTTGATCAAACAACACTAATTAATTAAATAAGGTTCTTTTAAACAAGAAAATAAATGTGATTTAACTAAGTGCTTGGGAATTTACCACTTATCTTTGCTAGATCTCCGTTTAGACAACACTTATGGACTCCTTCTTGTTGGGAAACCTCCATCGTAGTAACAAAATTTAAAAAGGTGAGTGTTTAGGACAAGAGGGGCTAGGTTGCACAAGTTCACAAGTATTTCGCCAGAGTTTTAGGTTAATTTCTGTTTGTTTAAGCCTGGGTCTAAGCTCGTATTTATAGGGAATGATTAGGTTTAGGGTTTCGAGCATTCTGCCGCAGCAGGTGTTGCGCGCAACAAGATGAGTTGCACGCGGCATCCCAGCGCAAGTGATTGGGTTGCGCTGCTACGGGCAGCGCAACTAAATGTCTTGCGGGCGGATTTATGGTAAGATTCGATTTATATTTTTCGTATAATTCTGAATCTTCCGTAGCGCAACTCTGAAGGTTGCGCTGGGTGTCGCGCACAACTGAATTAGTTGCGCGCGGCAGCCCAGCGCGACTGTTTGAGATGCGCGCGGCTTTTTCTACAGCAACACTAAGATTTAACCTAGTGCTCCTAAATCCGTCATTATTAGGTTTTAAGCGCGGGATTAAACCTAATTATGATCGGGTTTAGTTAATTGGACCTTTGTTTTGGCTTTTATCTTTAATTTGGGCTAGTCTTTTGTGTTTTGTGGCTTAACTAGTTATCCATAAGTATTCTTCACTTTCATCCAACACGAAGATGGTTTTATTTATCGTCATTGCACTTCTTGTCGGGATAGGAGGCCAAAAGTAGATGTCTACAGTTAGCCCCCACTTTGATCGAGTCTAGAGTAGACGATGATCAAAGTAGTCAAGAAAATAAATCCGAGACTCATTCTGTGAAGTTCTCTAAGGATAGAGAATCTTTCAGTAATGTTTAAGGATGTCGAAACAACCCTTGGTTCGCTAAGTGTTTGAAACAAGTAGCTATTAAGGCTAGAAAACGTTTTTCCTAGTCTTAACGCACTAAAGAATCTAGATTGATCCTTTGCAATTGTAGAACGCTTTTACAAGTAAAGGTGCTCTGGGTGATGTCAAGTCATGAGAAGTGATCGGTTTTAAAAGGATAAAAGGGGAAGATTTCCGCTCAATCGTGTCATCGTTGGTCTAAAATCCCTTGATATGTCATTGAAACTTTAGCCTGACTTTAACGAAGCAAAAGATGAAAAGGGGTTTTTGTTAATCGAGCCGAAATGGTCTGGTATTCGAGCCGGGTTCGGTATTCGAGCCGGATGTCCACAAGATAGAAATACATGTCTCAAAATTGGATGCATATATCCAAATTCAATGAGAGGGAAGAATGTCAGCAACTCTCTCAGCAGTTTTGTCCACAAGATGAGTACATGTGTCTCAGGACTGGGGGCACGTGACTACATAGGCGCGACATCATCTCGTCGCTTCTTTATACAGGGGATGATTTTGACACCCTAACTGTTCGGTAAGGTAGTAAGCGCACTAACTATCTTATTTGCTCCCATTCAAGAAGTGCCTGTTCCCGAAGGTTCGGCGCGCCTGTCGACTCTTGAGCTAACGCCTACAGTAATTCTCTGCCTTTTAGTCCCGAGAGGTAGATCTCGCAAAGCTTAGGCTGAAGTGAAATTTTATGCAACACCTACACCATACGATACGCCATTTGTATTTTTACACTGCATGAAAACGCCTTCCTTTTCGCTTCGGACGTGAAAAAAGAAGAAAACCCGGACATTTGTAACTTCAGTACAGTAAAATGACAAACCTGTCTATGGGTGCTTTTACGTAAAGCACCACCACGGAACGTCTTAAGGAACTCTTACGAAAAACGTTCAAAACGTATGCTTGGGGAAGGCACAAAGCACGGTGTGCATGCAAGAATGATGCAAAAAACTAACAAAGAAGAAAACTAACTACAATATGCAAAGCAATTTCAAAAGATTTTGATAATTTGTGTGCCATTACGTCTAATAACGAGCAAAAACTGTTAAAAAATGACCAAACGGATTAAAATCAAGATTCCGGGTCATTTTAGTGACCAGTATCCGCGGGCAACTTAGTGGGTCGTGCTGGCGAGGCGCGCGCATATTTCTAAGTTGCGCTGGTAAGTCACGCGCAACAGATTCAGTTGCGCGCGACATTTATGTCAGTAAAGTGAAATCGCTGAGCGCGATTTTCACATCACTCTTTCTTTCTCCTTCCTTCGCCAATTTTGCCCCTTTCTCTCTCTAGGAAGCTCATAATTTTGCGATTTTCGAAGCTAAAGGAAGCAAATTTCGTTCTTAATTCATATTTTTCGTAATCCAATGTAAGTTATTTGCTAGAATTAGTTCTTTTTCGGCTGAATTTGAACGATTTTCGAATCATTAAACCCCAAATTTCGAATTTAGGGGTTTTTTATTCAGTCCATTATTCTTGAAATTGTTTGTTCTATGTTGTTATGCTATATTTTGAGGAGTGTTTTGCAAGAAATTTCATGAAAAATGGTTAAGTATCGAACCTTGTATGAGCATTTCTTTGTTCAAGTTCGTTCTTGCTCTTTTCCTTCGAATTTTGCTTGATTTTATTGCTTTTTCTTGCTCATTTTGATTATAGTTCTTCGAAGGAACCAGAAAAACAAATAGATTTGAGGTTTCTCGACATCTTGAATTTGCATTTCCTTTCCTTAGGCTTTAACTCATAAAGCCCTCCCTTGAAATGTGACTCAACCTCTAGGTCGAAAGGTCTTTCCTAATGGTTGTAAACATAAGGGCAAAAAGGTTAGGGTAGGCTAAAATTTTAAAATTTGGTGGTATCCCTAATAGTGAAGCAAAGAACGGGCCCTTTCTTAGAATCACAGTCAAGTAGTCACCAAATAAAAATAAACTAACACCTCCAAGCTTATTCAAATATACTCACAAACACTTTACGCAAATTTGTATACGCTTCTTCCCCAAGCTTAAAGGAAGCTTTATCCTCAATGCTTGAAAAGGGGAATAGAATCACATCAAAATATTTTTGTATTTTCTCATTTTAACTTTTTTTTTTTTCTGTTAAAGCATATATTCAAAGCAATTGTCCTCGCCTCTTTTAACTTTTGACGGCTTTTATAACTTTGCATTTATTATTTCCTTGCCTTTTTTTAAACTTTGGACGGCTTTTTCTATCATACACTTGCCATTATTCACAAAATATACAAAAGACATGCTTGCTTACAAATAGAACCAATATCCAACCTTATATACACCACAAACTCCAAAAACATGACCATTTACTTCACAAAAACAAAAAATGGAACAAAAACAAACAAAAGGCTCAAAATTCTAAATATGTGGCTTG